TGATACTCCTTCCGTAATTTACTGTTGCTGTCAAAAAGCAAACATATCCACTGAAATGTTGATCCCACAGGGCATCAAGTTCCTGGAAGGCATCAAAACTGAATACTACAATCGTTGTAAACAACATGTTTACTAAGCCCATCGGCTAGAACATTCTGCCCCAGGGGCGCACACCTTGGGCATACCAGCGTATATGCTATCGCATAAATCAAATTGCATAACACTATATCCTGTAACTCACGTACTCTACTTTAGACTCTCACAATCTTCGCCACGATCTAGTTATTTGTGCACAATTGCACGTTTAAGCCTTCAAAACTTTTACTGTTTCATAATAACATACGGTGAACTGCAACGAGTTCCTTCCAGGTTGACCTTCTAAGTATCTACTGTTACATGCAATCCTCACCACTTCCTGGTTATCCGCTCAAATCTTTCATAATATCAAACAGTGGGCTTCAACGAGTGCTCGCCAGGTTGAACTTTCAACAATGCTATACAGAACATTTACCACACACACTCTTACCTTCTTGTTTAACATTATAAACCACCAAAGCCGTCGTGTACGGAAGCATGGCGTAGTCCCATTCATGCGCATTAAATTCATAACTCGCTTATCTAACATGAAGAAAACAGACACAAATATACCTATTGTGGAATTGCAGTGTTTTACTGTTTCCTTCAAACATGCACGGTTTGAAAGAGCTCTAGATTTAAATAAACCAGCTTTGATTTCATAGATACGTTGATGCAAGCTCACCAATAACCAAGTCGCACACACGCAACTGACCAACAACTTACCTTCGCTTTGGTATTTTTGTGAATAAACATGGCGCGATGGAAATGCCGAATTCCAAAGTAAAACGCCTTGGATACACAATACCTACGACCGTAACTAGAATCTTGGGAGAATCCAAAATAGCCCTGATTTTTCCACACGAACGAATAATTGTCAAGCGAGAGACGCGTCTTAACAACGAACGTTGAATTTGAATTTTTTTTTTTGGCCGCGACAATGGACACCCCATAAATTAGGGATGCTACCTCACACAAAACGAACAATCAAGATCGGCATAAGTGTTAAAATAAAGAGTTACTTAACTTAATGTTCGACAACTTGGTCGTGGAGGGTACATAACGCCTATGGCCGAATACGGCACGTGAAAGATGCTCATGGTTTCTTTGAATTCTCCGCTCTCGAAACAGTACTCGATGCCATTTGTAAGTAATCTTGCTGTGGTGCCGGATATGATGCCAACGAGGCTGCATAGTAAATAAAATTAATATTGCAGTCTGTTTCTCCTCGGCTTCAGAATGTTCCTTGCCTGCTTTTTTGCCGCCCAAAACATAGACCGAAATGTACGTCTTGTATGTTTTGACATCTCGTCCAAGGTCTTCCCAACCGGCTAACCGAAGTGAACGTTGTCGTGCATTCCCGACACTACGGGATCTGCTAGTTCTATCAACCGTCTTTTCTACTTGCACTTGAAAAAAAACATAACATCATAACATGATGTTAAAGGTTTACTGCTGGGCTGATAGTGCCGCACTGCCTGATTCATGATGATTCACACGAGAAGCACAGGAATGAACAAAGTGTGACTAAATAAGGAAACCGCCGAAAACTGTACTGTAGCGAGACTGGCCTAGATTGACATTCAACCTTCTGTCCTCCACTTAAATACCCCTTGTCACATGACCCCACATACCATACCCGTCTGTTTGCCATCTCGAACAGACAATGGTTAACCGCTATACTGCGAAACGCGGTTAACAATATTTATCGTCGCTTGGGACTCAATTCCCGCGCGTGCGCAGGTGACGAACCTCCCCCATTTAAGTTTGCTCACTCTCACATGGCAACAGGAATTTCTTGTGACTGTGAACTGGTTTTGAATAAATTCAAATCAAAATGTGCCATGTTTTGCCAGGTGACAAACACGCATACTAATCAACACATCGTATAAATATGAGTTTACTGGGGACAGCAGAGCACACAGGCTCAACAAAAGGCTTTATAGCATATAGTTAGTTCCATTTTCTCATATCATTGTGTCTGTCTACTGTTCGAAATTACCACCAATATATATATATATCAGTGGAGCACTGGGCGCGATGGTATACGAACTCGAGTTTCGAGGCTTTCTCGCTCGCGACGAGATCTCGACGTTCCATTTTCCCAACTAGGAATGCCCTCTCAAATGTGCAAAATGTTCTTATTCTGAGTGGGCGGCCTCCTATGGGAATGAAACCCCTAATTGAAAAATACATTGGAAATTAACCTTCCACTTAACAAAAACAATCAATCATCATATTATATTTGAACTAATAATGAATGTCACTTTCACTTTCTTTCAACAAGAAACAAGACCCGCCAAGTAAGTTTTCTGTATCATTTATTACTATATTTTAGAACGATCGTTTTTACTATTATTATCGACGTTGTTGTTGGGCACCATGTGACAACAACTATTCACGTGGTTGTTACAGTTATTTTATTGTTTGCTCCATATGAAATATACCATCTCGTTTACAGTCTGTAACTATTCGTGTGGTCCCGATGACGACGGAACGTGGGACGGTGATGGGGAATGTGACGATGGCGGGCCAGGTTCACAATATTTCGTGTGCGCCTACGGCAGTGATTGCAGTGATTGTGATTTAGACCGCCTGGCAGTAAGTAGTCTACAGGCCACAGTACGACTGTTCTCTTTATTGAATTGTTGACATATAAACCTCAAGAATAACTTTATTTTATGGCAAATTAAAGATTTGCACACATATAACATATCTTCCACACAGCCACCATAACTTCCAGTAGACTTCCTTACCTTGCCCATTGCATTTATTCAAACTAGATCTGCTTTGAAAGTCTAATTATAATCTATTTCTTGTCCTTTAAAAATGTAGACACACACTTCATTGAGTAATTAGATGTTGGATGTTACCTTACGGGTAATATAGCAAACTATGGGTTTTATGCGGATGACTCAGAAACTTGGCGAGGGTCAGCGACAAAAGGGCAAACAGCACAATAAACTCAATATATTTCACACTACGAAATCTGAGTGTATGGCGTTTTATTCAAATGCATGGAAGGATAAATATACAGTCCGAGGCATTATTAAATGGTTGGTTATTGCGTTTGTCGAAAAGAAAAATATTTAATGTCTCATTCAGTAATAATGTAGCTGTTTTGAAAAAAAACAATCTGAATCTATTGATACATAAGACAAGGTATTTTTAATTTTAGGCAATTTTGGTAGGAAACATTTGTTTTCATCAATAATTTGTTTTGGAGTAAATACAGAGGAATTGCATGTACAATTGCATTTTTGTCGATGTTTTTGTTTTGTCTTTGTATTGATTTGTATTTTGTGTTGTTTCACCGTATATTCACGGAACTTTAGGGCCGAAAATAAAGGAATAGTAATTCAAATGTGATTATACTCTTTTTTTCTTAAGAGTGCATGAACCAATGTGGTGATGCGAATGAGTGGTCAGGAGACAGCGTTTGTGATGATGGTGGACCCAAATCGTCATACGATATTTGTGACTTCGGTGCCGACTGTAAAGACTGTGGAGCTAGACCTGAAGGTGAATAAAACACTATTTATTTTAGCCCCATATATCAAGCCAGTTCAGTGTATTAAAGCAGTGCGATAATTTTCTGTATCTATATCCAGGTAACCTGATTGGCCATTCAAGACAACTAAACATCATGGCTGTCTAAAACAATATACGCCAATGTCTTAGTAAGTTGGTGGTTCACATTATATCGCTAAATTATAGTTCGGAAGTATGATAATTTGAATATGTCTGATAGTTCTAGATCTTATCTAGAAGACGTGGGTGAAATGAAGCAACGTGCATGTACATGCAAAACGTCATTTAAATTCTAACAGCTCCAACGTTTCCGAAGGCAGATTTTGTTCACGTATCGTGGCTCGACTAGATTAGACTAGACTAAACTAGACTACGGTTTGAATTGCCATCAAAATTAGTTATTATGTCACCAATGCATCCTTGAACACATAAATATATATATGTAATATATGTAATATACACAGTAGCACAAAAACGAGCAGTACATGTGTTAAATCACCGGCGATCATCGTGCAAGTGGTTCAAAACTTCCAGCGATCCCTGTCTTGAAACTCAATTCGTAGTAATGAACTAATTGTTAAATAATTAATTAATTGTCCTTCTCTAAAGGCTCGGTAGGAGAATGTACGATTCTAACACGCATTGTAGCTGTCTGGCATGATCGATATTCAGCACTATAATCACAGTCTTTCAAACTTATTTATGAAAAATTACGGATCACAAGCTTTTATTCAAATTCGAATATCTAATAGTGATTGGCCAAAGAACTAAACATTGTCAATGACCACAATACGCGTACATGCTTTCACGCCAACTTATTGAAAATGGGGAACGTTTTTATGAATAATGTTAAACTAACTCAATAATATTAATTTCAACTGACGATGATGATGTCACAATAGCTTTTGATTTATAATAATTTATATTTATAAAAGGTTTCTAACGACCCTATGCAGCCCTTTCTTCGTGTCACACAATGTATAATACCACCTTCCTATAAAACGTTGTTGGTACTACCAAACTGTCTTCAACCTTAACAAGTTTCGTAACTGTCAATCATGGAACTGAACCGATCAAATATATTTGACATATTCGATACAGAATATTTAAATAAAGACTACGAAATAATGTGCTATGGTGATTGTGATGTAGCTCTAGACAGGTAAAACTAACGCTTACACAACAATTATTCGATATATAACGTAAGAATGAAAATGTGTTTTTCAGTTATTCCCGGCATATGCACCAATGATTGTAGCTTTAGTAACGATGGGGAATGCGATGATGGCGCCCCAGGATCGAGTTGGGACCTGTGTGACCTTGGTACGGATTGCAATGACTGTGGAGAAAGATTTCCAGGTTAGAATGCAGTAATGACATATATTAGAATGTTCGAATATGATATAGATGTGCAGTGGGTGGAAGAAAATTTCAGAAAATTTACTCGCAGGATAAAAACAAATATGAGAAGATGTGAACTCAAATTCCATCATTATTATTTAGATAACATGGATCACAAAAATGTACACTCTATTTACGCATTTTAGTGAAACAATTTAATCTAATGCGCATGCCTGGGAGATAGATCACACGACTTGGTAGCAATAGTTTATATTTCGCATTCACACTGGGATTTCACATGACGTCGACAATTCAAACGAGTTCAGGCATACAAAGCGCTACTTCAAACTCTATCTCAACTTGAAAAGTGAAAGTGTGCCCTTTTTTCCAGACATATGCGAAAATGACTGTCGTGATGCCGACGATGGTTGGTGTGACGATGGTGCCCCAGGCTCTGATTTCGATATATGTGAACTTGGTAGTGACTGCGGTGATTGTGGACCGAGAACGCATCCAGGTTAGCCATAATAACAGCTACTTTTAGTGTACGCAAATTCCTCAGTACGAAGATAACTGTTTTAATAATTCTCTGTTATTCTTTTGTAAAAACAAAAAACACATGCAACGAATACAATAATGTTTACATGAAATTTGAATGTGAACAGTGTTGCATTGAAATATGTGAATTTTACTTTTTCCTGAGTTAATCAAAGAGTTACCACAATTTTTTATCAATGGCGGGTTAATGAGTGAAGATGATTAATACGATAGCCTGATTTCGTGCGGGCAATGTAGTCTGACTATGATTGCATTTGTCACTATACTGTAAAACATTTTGAAAAAGCAACATACTATTTTAGCGAATTGTGTTAAAATGATGTAATAGCAAAATGTTGATTTAGCGAATTTCTCTTGTTTTTTGATTTCCAGTTTTTACAATACTTGTCTGTCGCCCGCTAAAACATATGCGCAGTTATCACCTCCATAAAATCAAAGAAAAACTGTCAAGTGTAATAAGAACGTGTTCCAGATTATTACATTTTCTGTGATGTTTACAAAGTGTGTGTGGGAAGAAAAAGACGTTGTTTGGCCGCCATTTTGAATTTATAATTAAGTCATTGTCGACATCTTAAATTAGCGAATTAGTTCTCTCGCGAAAAAGATATGTTTTACAGTATGATGAGCTATTCAACAACGTATATGTAATATATACCTCCACTCTCAATTCAACTTAGGTTGAGTGCTCATACGATACAGTATTTGTTGTTATTGTTGTTGTTGACGATATATACACTAAACTAGAATTGTTTGTGAACTAAAAATGTTTAAATGTATTAGGAGCGGCGAGGCCGGGATCTGTTACTAAGAAGAAGAACGATATTCTGAAGCAGAACATTTTGGGGGAAAAGATGCGTCAGGTTAAGAAAGGTACGTATTGCACGTACATTGTAATAGTTGTACGTATCTCAGTGTTCGAATATTATCTGATATGTTGGTATGCCAATGAAAGATGTTTAAACGCCATGGTAGATTAATACCACTGTAGGTGAAACAGCGCGAAACAACAAGGAAGAGTAAATAAACGATTCTCATTATATTTACAGACTTGAAGAAACCCGTGTCTAAAAAGACCAGACCTAAACCTTAGTGTGGATGTGATGGCTTCGATCGGATACCCATGGTTACAACAGAGGTCTCAGATTAATTAATTAGGACTGCAATATAATATATTCATGCAGTGAACTTGTTCTCTTATTGATAAACATTATAAACAATAAATAATAGTTATTTTACAGGCATAATCTCAAAATGCCCTTGTTGTGTATATTAGATGCGAATATGCTATAGATCATCCGTTAATACATATATAATTAATAAATACATATTGTTATTTGATCGATGTTTTTAAAAACCATCATACAGATTAAGCTGTTGGCAAATTTTAAGATTGACAGTTGTGATGTAAAAAGTTCAAATTCAATCTTCTGCAACTAGGTTACCAAGGCAATAGTTCGAAACAAATGAACATAATTACACTCAACATGTAATGTCAATCACTACTGAGGTTGCATCTACGTCATGATGTTCAATGTTACACCCCATTCTGTACATGTTCAGTTTAAGTGGTCGATTTACATTATCAAGAACAGTTTATGTTAGTACTAATAAAAATACTTACAGCTGGAAATGTGATTAAATAGTAGGAAAACGACTTCGCTGTGAACGACGAGTAAACAATTTCGAAGTGATGGATCATTAATTTCACGGTCACCTACAGTAGGTATAAAAACAAAGTGTTCGCTGAGATTGTTTACAAAGAGAAAAACAAAATGGCGGTGTTATGACAACCAACAATGACTCCATAGGAGGTGAATACTCGAAAGGATCTGTATGGCGGGTTCGCATTCATACGATTGTTGCTGTGTATATTGTGTCAACAGAAATTCGTGTTCCGACAACAACGTTGTACACTCGTCAACAATAAATACAAAATGTGTAACCCTTCAAACCCGAAACTTGGTAAACATATTACACCGAAGACGAAGGACGCAATCAGGTTTTCTAGAAGCGTCTTTACATCGTTTTGTGAAGAAATCGGGACACCGCTAGTAGACGTCGAGAATAAGACGGCAGACGATCTATGCACGTTATGTTGCAGTTTGAGCATGCAGTGTGTTTACTATTAATTTTATAGTATGAACGTGTAATGTGTTATAAAACACAAATTGCATGGCCTAATATGTGCTTACTAGTACACTCTTTCGCCGCATTCATAATTTGGATGTACTAGTACAGCACGTTTAGTTTAGGAAGATATTATAGTAAGTTACGATATAATACGAAGGTGACGAAAGGGTGCACTAGCTCAAACTCGTGAACTTGTTACAAAGTCCATTGTAACAATGGTTGATGACTCTGTTCACCTCGGCAGGTATTCACATCAGTGTAGTCTTTTGTGTACCACACCGACCACGTAAATATCCTCTTAGCCAATACAAAGCATTTCAATATACACCCCCCAGGCTATGCTTGGTTACACATAAATAACATCCAATTGAATGCCACAATATACGAGGATTATTTGCCATACAACATTACAGTGTCACAGTTTTGGGAGTTCGGTGTTTTGTAAGTGTGTTTTTTTTTGTCCTGAATAAAAATGGTTTATCATTGGAGTAACCGCAGAACATTGTTCAGCTCGTGAAGCAGATTTAATGCAGACAGGATTTTGTTTGATGCTTTGTTAATAGTTTAATTATAGTTTAAACGGTAATCAACGCACTTTTTAAAGTTTCTTATGCCAAATAGCGACCAGCCGAGAATATTAGTTGTTAAAAATAATTCACATAGCCAGATTGTGCTCTAGAAGTGTTTGTTATTTCTTTCGTTTTTATCGCACAGCAAAGATCAACATGTATGTACAGTGAAGGGCATAAAGTTGTGGCTCTTATGAACATTTTATAAATGTACTTTTTACAAATCTAATTGGGTTTGTATTGTGACATCATGGTTAGTTCTGAATAATATTAATGAGATAGTTCAACATTATCCAATCAGCAAAGGTCTTATTTTGAATATGTGTGGGTGGCCACAGTTGCTATGTTTCGTAAAGCATGTGCTCACATTGTGATCATAGACAATATTTAGTTCTTCAGCCAATTGAATTGAAAAATTTGATGACATATAAAGTTGGCCTTTGTTATTATTCATAAAGAAGTCAATTATTCTGTAGTTTTTACTAAAAAGTGTATTGATCTAGTCGTTTAATTACAAACTTAAATGTAAATAAATATCTGATATAAACGCTAAAATTTAAATTCATAATAACAGGTGAACTATAAAAATTATTCATTTTGCTGAAGATACTTTTTAACAAATGTTTGGTAGGTGTTCCTGCGGAAGGACCATTATCTATTTTGTTAATATACTAACACAATCCTGTTGGATATTAATAATGGTCCCATTTGTACATGAGCTGCACAATAAAACCATTTGTTTTGTTTCTGTTTTCTTTTGATATTTTGATATATTGCAATAAGCAGACCTTACACTGTGACATTTTGGTGTCAGAAGTGGGATTGTGAGCCTGATTTGGATTCTCTTGCCAGTAATCCCCTGACTAAATTGACTGTTTCGTAACTACTTAAGGTCTAGAGAACACGGTGTTGTCAGACCAGGTTGTACTGTTAGGTGGACATTAAATTGCTTTATTTAATACTGCTGGAACTTGATTCACACCTTTTCAGCATGGATATTGTTAAAGAACTTAAAGAGTTGGGTATAGAATTGGGGTATGAGGGGTAAGAGCTTACTCAATTTATGAGGACAGAGCGAGAGAATAGATAGCGTGAGGAGAGGAATGAGAGAACATCAAACGCGAGGCTGAAAGGTTGAGAATTGAACGTGCGGAAAGAGACAGAGAACGTGAGGCTGAAAGATTGAAAAATGAGGCAATAGAGAGATATTGAGACCGCGAAGAGTAAGGGAAAATAAGACAGCTTGAAATTGAAGTGTTGAGATTGCGTGCGGAAGATAATGGTCAAAATAAAGTCATAGAACAGTTGGCACAGTTCATAATAGTTCGAAGGGTCCAAAACTACCTTTGTTTTGGTAAGACTAGGGATGAGACAGATGCATTTATTTTAAGGTTCGACGTATTTGCTGCAACTCAGAAATTGCCGTGTGATAGTTGGGTGATGAATCTTAGTGCATTATTGACAGGCAAAACTTCGTGTGTGTTTTCTGCATTGTCTACAGCAATGTCAATAAGACAGCTTGAAATTGAAGTGTTGAGATTGCGTGCGGAAGATAATGGTCAAAATAAAGTCATAGAACAGTTGGCACAGTTCATAATAGTTCGAAGGGTTCAAAACTACCTTTGTTTTGGTAAGACTAGGGATTAGATAGATGCATTTATTTTAAGGTTCGACGTATTTGCTGCAACTCAGAAATTGCCGTGTGATAGTTGGGTGATGAATCTTAGTGCATTATTGACAGGCAAAACTTCGTGTGTGTTTTCTGCATTGTCTACAGCAATGTCCGTCATTTCAACTGTGTATCCTGTGTGTAGCTCTATTTAAAGGTCTAGTAAGCTACAACACTATTATCTGCATTGTAAGATAAATTCCTTCACTATCTAAGCTGTGCTTGTATTCTAGGATTTAATTAGTTGTTGAATTTTTACAGATACTAAGGTGTCATAGTATTCAATTATAGACAACTTGTCGTAGACCCACCATTTAGGGAGACTTCGTGTTTGTTTGTTTGTGTGCTTTAGCTAATAGATCTGGCAATAATCTAACAAGAAAGTAAAATTATGAACTTTGAAATATGCAAAACTATTGAGTAAATTTAGTGATGAACATGAATCCTACCATTGAGAATCAGAATGTCACGGCTCTGCTTTACCATGCATATTTGTCACTGTCTTACTATGTGGAACTGAAAGGCAGTCAAATGAAGATATAAATGACTATTTAATATGATCTCAAAGTTTGTCATTGTGCATGTGCATGTGATGAATAAATAAAACTTGTGTGTTTGTACATTATATGTGTTTGTGTATTTGTTTAAGTTTGCACATGGCCAGTTAAGATTGCGTGAAAACCCTTGCATCCTTGGGAATGAGTATGGATATGCACATTGTTTGCCAGGCGTTTTCTGAATGTATGCTCTGTACTGTCTACCATTTACGTGAGTTCTGTTGAAGCCAATCAACGAGCTATTGATATCATTTACATCATGCCATTGTGCAATCAGATTTACTGTACTCAAATAAGGTTTGATGATGTTAATGAATGGGCCACCCTTTCTGTAGATATAGTTGATGAAATGAAGAACTACTTTTTGTTGCTGTCAACCACAGTGTTGTATCCTTGCATAATTGATTCAATGGAACAGCCATAAGATATAATTATAACCTGCATCTGATGCTTTATTCTGAATTATATTTTCTGTGTTCCCATGGATCAGTCCATATTTCCATTTGTAAATTGTGGCTTCAAACTTCCACCACTCTGATTTTTATTCACAATAAATTTTGGATTCTATTCTCAATATAGTGAGGGGATTATTGATAATAGAATACAAAATTGATTGTGAATCAGAATCAATACCAAATCCCAATCCGAATCACAATGACAATCCCACTTCTGACACTAAAATGTCACAGTGTAAGAACTGCTTATTGCAATTGATAGGGCCACCCACAGAACTCACGCTGAACAGGGGGTTCGTTCACTGATAGAATGGGGTAGACAAGATAATAGTACTGGAAATGAAATACAAATACATGTACACCAAAATATCGAGTTAAAGCTCCTAGCTTTAATAACTTTTAATAACTTTTCAATTGTACATGCGAATTAGTGAATCGCAATGATGACAACTTCCATAAACGTTTTTACTTATTATTAGTATGAAGCCTTGTTTATAGTAGTGTGTGCTGAAAATACTGATATCAACACCAATCAAGAGAATGGTCTTTATAAACCATTTATTTAAAATAAGAAAAAGTGAAAGGTTCAAAGCTTGGGCTTTGCTTATAAACGTATTCATAACAATTTGTCAATACTGATAATCTGCTTTGATCAAGAAGTATTCGTATATCAGGCATAGATATACGAGTATACTTAAAACTGAGATTCCCTAGGTAGACAGAAGTTATCAAAACTAGTCAACGCTAGAAGGGCTCGAACAATGTAACAACACAAGATATATGGATGCTGTATGAATGAACACCGACCTGGGTATTTTCACTAAACCAAGGATAAATAGCAAACAATTTAAATGACACGCGTATAAGCGTTGGTGAAGGCACTGATTGGACAGTACCTACGATACGTCACGCGATAAATGTATGTTAATTTGTGAAGACAC